TTCGCTTAGCAACCAGAGCAAAAAAGATCGTAAAATCAGTAATGGTCACAGGATGACCCACCTAATGACCACTTCACTTATGAACAGAACTTCCAGACTCAGTTGTGGTCATAGATCAAGGGCTCCCTCTATGTTGGACCATCGCTGGACATTTCTTTCCCTTCCTTATATCTGAAAATCTTAACAATGTGGATTTGAAGAGCGTTTATTTAAATGCGTGTTTGCTCAAACTCAACGGGATGTATCCAGATCTACTCTGAAACCCATTTTTGACTGTGCAGAACTAAACAGAAAAGATGACCCTGGACAAGATAGAAAGTTTGGCTCAAGTTCTAAAGATCTACAGGGAGTGTTAAATCTACCAGAGTTATGGCACACTTTTTTTTTCATCCTACAGATATTCAATCTTTCCCACTACTCCAAACTTTCAGAAGTGCAATTTGAGGGCTCCAGAGATACAAAAAGAGAACTGGAGGGCCACGCCCAATCCACATATCAGAGGTTACAAAGCCATGACCTAGATAAACTTGGTATCTTCTTCACCCTTTGTAACTCTTACTGTCAATACCTCTTCAAAGTAATCTTGATGTGTTTACTTCTTACCCAATGAGGTTACTTCCAGCATTTCTGGAGAGAATTATGGGGCTGGATCTTCAATTTCTTTGGGCACAAGAGTTTAACAAAGGCCCTCCTGAAGCTGTAGTGACAGAGCGGATAAAGGACGGGGTTGATGGCCGAATTGACCCACAAGAGCCAGAAAGAAGCCTCATACCAATACACAGGGATGCAGTGACCATGGCAAGCGGCTCGGATGATCATGAGAAGGGTGTACGGTGCCCAACATAGGCCAAAAATGCCCACAATCACAGCTAGTGATTTCGCTACTTTCTTGTCCCTTGTCAGCCTGAATCGCTGGGTCACATTCTGGGAAGCGACCTTCAATCCTTTCTCTAAAGAAAGGTTGGCTGCCCAGTCTTTATAATTCCTTTTGTTAGAGAATTTTGCTCCCGCGTCAGAGTCCCGCAGATGTTTTTTGTTGATGCTTCCTCGCGCATCTTCTTCTGGGATGTCCCATTTTGGAGGTTTCAGGCTCCCTGGATCTTTTTCCTCCCACTCACAGCATTTCATGGAAAGCTTGGGCCCCATGCTCATTTCGATCTCCTCCACAAAATTCTGGCTGTCGTGAAGAACCTCCAGGCGGATTTTGGTCCGTTTCTGTATGTTCAGGTAGATGCTCAAGTTGAAAAACATCACGCTGAGAAAAGGGGTGAAGAACTCAAGGGTGGAGGCCGTGATGAGGAAGTACCAGTTGTAAAAAAATTCCGCATAGCATTCCCCATCGGGAATGGTGCTCCGGCCGGATATGTACTCCCAGCTGATAATGGCAGGTCCGTACAGCAAGAAAGCTAAAACCCAGACCATCGCCATCTTGAATACAGCTCTCTTGGTGTCTCCTTGCTGGGCTCGGTATGAGACCTGGAAAAGGAAAACAACGGGCCACGTTTATTAGAGAACATCCTCTCCCTGCAGGGATAATCAGTTCAAAGGAAAATAATTGATAATCCCAGTCAAATGTTTTCTTGCTGCTTAGCGTGAACCAGAATGGCAGAGTTGGAAGGGACCTTGGACGTCTTCTAGGCCAATCCACCACCACCCCTGCACAGGCAGGAAGCCCTATACCCGTGATGGCGAACCTATTGCACGCGTGCCACAGGTGGCATGTTAAGCCATTGCCCCAGCTCAGCTCCACCATGCATACATGTGCCTCCTGCCAGCCAGCTGATTTTTGAGTCTCTGCTGTGCATGCGTGGGGGCCGGGAGGGAGCACGAGAGAGCA